TATTTAGAAATAGTTTTGTCCAATAATGGATATGGTATAACCTGTTGTTGCACTATGGGTACCCAGGTTCCTAAGAGATAATTTCAGTCGATATACTGGCTAGGGCTGAGGGATGATTGTCTTGCTTCTGAGCAATCTTGTTATTCCATATGCTGGCTATTTTGCTCTCATTTTGTTTGTTTTGCTTGTTTTTTGTACAAGAAAAAATGATTAAATAAAAAAGAAAGAAAGCCCATCACTAACTCTGCAGTTGTTGACTACTCCTTTCAGCTCCCTGTGTGTTTTCAGTCTAGCTGAATTACTTATAATCAAATAACACCAGGCACCAGGTAGGTCAGGAAATTTACAGCATATCAGTAAAACGCTGGAGAGAACTTTACCTGCTTGCTGTACATGTTAAATATAATATATGCATATGTAATGTTTCCTTTGACTAAAAGGTCTAAAATATTTCTTACAGTTCTGTGATTTAGTCTTGAACAAAAACATAAATAACATACCAAAATAAAAGTTATACAAAAGAGTCCTTTTAAGCAGTTTTCTTAAAGTCCTTGACATTCTAGCATGGGACTGTTGACTACAGTTGTCGCTGAAAGTGCTAACTGTATCTTTAACAACCATTTAGGAAGCTTCAGCAGATCTATAAAGCATTTTTTGCAAGTTCTGGGAGACTATTAGGCTAAGCTTTGCACTAAAGAAGCCAAATAATAAATATTCTGCTGGGCAAATGTCATTCAGACAGCATTTCCACTACTAGACGGAGCCGAGGACATCTGTAGTCAACAGTCCCCTGTCAGAACATTAATCACTTTAAGAAAACTGCTTAAGACAAAAATACAAAACTGTAAGAAATATTTTATACCTTTTAGCCAAAAGAAAGATTTATAAATAGACACTTTATGTTTACCAATGCCTGCTTTCGCTTGCTAAATACCTGCTAATTGTGTTAATGTCTACATAAGTGTTTACATGCTAAGACTAAAATAAACCCATGTAATCTTTGGGTACCTACAGGCATTAGAAAATGTTTGCCTGATCCACCTGTTTATGGTTGGATCTAAAAGTGCTTGTACATCTGTAAGCCTTTTATGCTTCCCCATGACCGAGCCTGCTTAGTGGAGAAGTGGATCTGCCAAAATGTATTTTCCCAATGGATCTTACAAACATGAAATATCACCAGATGCAAACTTGTATTCCGTTTATACAATGAATGTTAAGCAGCCAGATTTTGCATGAACGTCTGATAACAACACACACACACAGCTCCAAGGCCGAGTATCAATTTTCCAATGATTTAAAAGGAGCAGCTAAATTCAAGTTTCTATGCTGTCCAACATCTAACAAGGTAATATGGGTTACGTGGCCACAGCAGCAGTCAGGAAGAAGCAACGTCCTGACTGCTCAGCTCTGAGGTGACTGTAGATGTCCTGTATAAACCCACCACTGAATTCTTGTATGTGGCTATTATCAACATGTTACACAAAGCAGATGTGATACTATGAAGACTCATAGGGGTCTATTATTGGCTATTGCAAATTGAAAAAGCCAATAGGAATCTAGCAATGCATTCAAATGGGCAAAAACATTTTTTTTTTATTTCTATTCTGACACGGCTCCGTGGCGGCCGGGAGCAGAAGACTCTCGGAGTCTGGAGATCAGTGTCCCTGGTTAGCAGGTAACCAGGGACGCTAAACTCTCTGCAAGTGGCCGGAGCTCCGCCCAGCTGTCAGCAGCAGGCTGTCGGCCAGCTAATGGCCAGCCGCTCGGCCAGCTTCGGCTTTCAGCGCGGCTCAGCCGAGCCGAGGCATATGCCTTCGGCTCGACTGAACCGCTCGGCTACGTTCAGGAGCTGTACGGGCTCTTGTGAATAGCCCGTACAGCAGCATTTTGTTCTACTGAACCAAAGGGCCCCTGGGGCCGAAGCTAGCCAAAGGATCGGCGAAGCTACGGCTAGATCCGTTGGTTGCTTCGTGAATAGACCCCATTTCCTTTGTATTGGTAGAAAACATACAAGGACACATTGTACGTGCATTTTGCATAGCACTGTTCTTCCCCTGAAGTATTGGTACTAAACAGACCCCTGATATTTCCCTTTTAAAATAGAAAAACAGATTGACAACACAGAGTCATCAATCTATTTTTCTGCATCCCCTGCTATAAATGAACAGGAATCCTCTATGCTGAATGTTCCTGTTCATTCATAACATATGGATATAGTATGTTTACTATAACTACAATCATGAATGAACAGGAAGTTATGTAGATCACTTCCCATTCATTCATAATTGAGGACACAGTAACCATACTATATCCTCAATCATTTACAAACACTCAGCGATCACTGATCCCTGAGTGTTTGTACTCACTCTCCATCCTGACGGCTGTCACAGGAGGCTGGGCGGGGCGGTGCAGGAGGAGAGCTCAGCCTCCTTTGACAGCAATGACAGCTGTCTCCGCCCACTCCGCCGCTCTCTATCCTGGATTGGCTGCCAGAGGAGACTGGGCGGTGCGCGAGGAGAGCTCAGCCCCCTGTGACAGCACTGCCTGTCTCCGCCCCCACATCGCTCTACTGATCTGTGACAGGAGGGTGAGAGGTGCAGGGAGGATAGACGCCAGCCGCTCACAGTGCTCTCCTCCCGCACCGCTCGGCCTCCAGTGACAGTTTCTCTCCTGCCCGCTAGGACATAAAGCAGCGCCCAGCGGGGGAGGAGAGAAAGAACGGATGCACCGCTATTCCGGCTAGAATAATGCACATTCGGCATTTTGCCAAAAGCACCATTTTCGGCCGATATGTTTCGGCGGCCAATATATCGGTGCATCCCTAGTATAGGTAATGCATTCTAAACTCTAGAACTAAGGATTTTGACATAAACATTGAGGACAATTTACTTTAAAAAAAACTGGACTAGACAGAAGGACAGCTGCTGGAGATTGTGCTGTCCCTTGTGATCTTGTACTGCACAGGAAGTTCAGGGAAACACAGCTGAGAGAGTTGAAGCCACTTGTTTGGAAATATGATGGCTGATAAGTGCTTGGCAAACATGTAAATAAATACTGTGTTAATGAATATTGGTTTGATCTGGATACATTAATGAAAAGATGTTTAACAGTTTAATACTATTTTAAATGTTAACAGACAATATTCCCTAGTTTTGCACTAGCCCCATCTTCCAGGAAAAATCCATTTATCGTATAGGAGGGCAATACAGTACAGTAACACAGTCTAGGTGCAAAACCTTACATTGATCAATCAGTCCAACACCCACACCTTTATTTGTCTTATAGACCAGAGCAATTTTTACATTTTAGCTATGTGCCTACTGATTGGGTAGTAAATATAGTACTATAAAATAGGGATAACAAAAGAAAACGATCCCTTCCAATGTAGAGTCAGTAAAACAACAGGGACAAGCCTAGTAAGTAATAAGTAAGTAAGCAAAAGAGGGCAGGCCGAGGCAACAGGGACGTGCGCTTTTCGCCTGAACCCTCCCTCCCTTCCCTCTCGCACACATACTCAGATTCATTCTATACACGGAGTATGCCCCCTTATTGGCATTACTGTCCCCCCGGACCATGGCACACCTCAGGTCTGTATCATGTATATCACAGTTGTCCTCAGGCGTATGTGTGTATGTATATGTTGGTTTCAGGTTGGGATATCAGAGGCTGCACAGGTGAGTGAACACCTTACACAAATGTGTAATAAAGATTGGAGGAAGAAAAAGTTGGGGTTTTGGGCACCAAACGACAAGAACCAAAGAGCATTCAAATAGCTATGAAGTATAAAAATATATTTTTAATTTGATATGAAAGTTTAAAAATCATCAATATGATACATAGAAAGAATAAAAACAGTGCATGATTAAATGAGAACCTCCTTACACCCACTAGGCTCCATGTATGAGGCAATGATATGATCATATAATAATTATAGCATGATACAGAGTAGGGTTTAATCAATAAAGAAAGCCACATCCATAAGCTGAAATGTCCAAAACCTCTAATGGAGACACTCAATGGTGGATGGTAGTGCAGTACTTGCAGAGCTCATTGGAGGTGCCCTACTAGCGCTGGTGTAATCAACGCGTTTCGTGCCGCGGGGCGCTTGATCGCGAGAGGGAGGTCCCCTTACAATGTAATCCGCAAATGCGTGTGCACAGGTACTGCGAAACAGGGGGGCATGTGTTCTCTGTATGGAGGAGGCTGGAAAGAACCATCAGGGGCTGGTCCTTAGAGATATCAAGATAACAATGGCAGTATAAGGACCTGGGAAATTCAGCCTCATAAGCACCCTGGTGACAGCCTCCACCGTCTGCTGCCGCCGATGTGTGCAGAGCCGTCTCCAGCCGTGCTCCACAGGACTTGCGCACCACCAATCCTTTTTTGTACAATTAATGTATGCATTGTAAAACAAAGTTTGCCTTATATCATTTAAAGAAAGAAAGAAAGAAAGAAAGAAAGAAAGAAAGAAAGAAAGAAAGAAAGAAAAAGAAAGAAAGAATAATAATAAAAAGCTTTATTTGTGGGATAGATACAGTATAGATGAATAGATAGATGCATAGATAGACAGACAGAACAGCCATTTAATAATGTAGAAAATAAAGAACGGATTAGACAATACTCCCCCTCCTAGGTACAGTGACAAAAAGGGACAAGCCTAGTAATAGCATCTCCCTGACACAATGACACAAGGCTGTGATTGGTTTCCTATTTTCCCACCTCTCCTGGACCTCCCTTCTCCTCTCATCCACCTTCTCCAGTCCAGTCTAGAAGGAACGTAATGACGTGTGTGTGAGATTTAAATCCCCCCAGTCACTGCTAGGCTCAGGCTGCCTGTAGCACAGAGCTAGTCCGATGCTGGAGTTATCAGCCTGCCTTCACAGTGAGAAGGATCGCACACAGCAGCAAAAGAGGGACAGCGCTGCCAGGTAGATCGCGCATGCTGCTGCTCAGCCACCAACTACATACTCTAAGGAACTCTGACATCAGGACACTGATTTTACCTGCAACCCTGGACCTTAATGAACAAATACACGAAATCATCAGAGATTACTCACAAAAGCATTAAAGAATCAACGTGGTCTCGCCATGAGCTGTTTGGATGTAATGTACCAAGTGTATGGTCCTCCTCAGCCTTACTTTACAACAGCCTATAGTCCTTACCACCAGGTACGTTCTGCCATGATGGTCCAAAGATTGTGTAGGGGTTCAGACAGTACTATGAATCATAGATGAATGGAATGATATGTGATCATCTTATTCTGCTTATATTACAGGCTAACTTTAAAGTTTTTTTATGCTGTTTGTTACTCTATATTAAGAAAATATAGAAAGGTTATTGCTGATCACTCATCTGAAAATGCTCCTTGCCTGGTTGCTGTATTGATTTTGGTACTTTGGTACTTTCTGGGACACTGACTTTGGTACTTTCTGGGACACTGACCTGAAACAAGTCTGGAGATCAGTAGTTCTGAATTACTAATGTGCATGTTTGTTTTGTGTTAGTGACTCGGAAAGTATTGAATTCAGAGACAGCCAGGCAATGAGTGTTTATAGGACTGCATTTTGTTGTTTCTATCAGCACAGGTTAAACTGGAGATGTCATTCCGCACTCAGCTTCAGACTATTTACAGAGAGACCAGATAGCTGCTATGATCAGGCAAAAGTGATGAATTGTAAATCAAGCATGAATTATGAATCCAGTATGTACAAGTCATTTCATGTGGTTATGATGATGCATGCTCGGTAGAAGATGGCATTGAGTCTCTGGAATCCCGTATATTGTCCCAGTGTGTGCATGGTGTGGAGGCCATCCTGAGTGTTCAGGCTGCTGCGGATCTGCAATTCCCACACTCTGCACCTGTTCTAGTCTCGTGTCTGTACATTCACCAGCAACCCTGCAATCTCCCATTGTTCCCTTCGTGTGCGAAACCAATCGCTCCGGAGATTCCCATCACTGGCTGCTAAGGGTGTCTAATGCACTTCCAGGCGGGACATCTCTTCTGTACTTTATAGTATTATTATTTATCTGCACTCCTCTGTACTTTATACTGAGCTGAATTCTCTGCACTCTTCTGTACTTTAGAGCATATAATCACTTATCTGTACTCTTCTGTATTTACTATGCTATATTATCTGCACTCTTCTGTGCTTTATAGTATGATCACTTATCTGCACTCATCTGTACTTTATACTATATTCTTTGCACTCTTCTGTACTTTAGAGTATGATCACTTATCTGCACTTTTCTGTACTTTATACTATTCTCTGCACTCTTCTGTACTTTATAGTGTGATCACTTATCTGCACTCTTCTGTACTTTATACTTTGCTGAATTCTCTGCATTCTTCTGTACTTAAGAGTATGATCACTTATCTGTACTCTTCTGTACTTTCTACTGTGCTGAATTCTCTGCACTCTTCTGTACTTTATAGTGTGATCACTTATCTGCACTCTTCTGTACTTTATACTTTGCTGAATTCTCTGCATTCTTCTGTACTTAAGAGTATGATCACTTATCTGTACTCTTCTGTACTTTCTACTGTGCTGAATTCTCTGCACTCTTCTGTACTTTATAGTGTGATCACTTATCTGCACTCTTCTGTACTTTATACTTTGCTGAATTCTCTGCATTCTTCTGTACTTAAGAGTATGATCACTTATCTGTACTCTTCTGTACTTTATACTTTAAAGTATGATCATTTATCTGCACTTTTCTTTACATTGCAGTATCACTTTTCTGTACTCTTCTGTGCATTATAGTATGATTATTTATCTGCACTCTTCTGTACATGATAGTATAAAGGCTTATCTGCACCCTTCTATACATTATAGATCATCTATCTGCACTCTTCTGTACATTATAATATCATTACTTATTTGCACTCTTCTGTACATTAAAGTATGATCATTTATCTGCACTTTTCTTTACATTACAGTATCACTTTGCTGCACTCTTCTGTGCATTATAGTATGTTGAATAGTATGCGTCTGTGCTTGTATGCTTCTGTGCTTCATAGTGTGCTTATTCTTCTCTACAGTATGATCAATTATCTGCACCTTATGTTATAATAACTTCTGTTCACTCTTCTGAACTTTATAGCCTGACATCTCTGCATTCGTCTGCACTTTGCAGCGTGACTTGTGGATATTCCTATAGGATGGCTTCCCTACACTCTTTTATACTTTTTTGCGTGACTGCTATTCTGTATTATAAGACCTGACTTTTCTGTACAATGTAGAATGACTTCTCTGTCTCTGCTCTCTTCGGTGCTCTCTTGGGTCTTTTCTGTACTATGTAGTCTGACGTTTCTGTCTCTGGACTCTCCTGTTCTATCTTCTGTTCTATACAGTGTGGCTTCTGTGTACTATACTTCTCTGCACTCTTATATACTTCAAAGCGTGATTTTGGTGTACTATATAACTGCACTTCTATGCACCTTCATACTTCAGAATATGTCTTCCCTGCGCACCTCTGTATTTTACAGCCTGGTGTAGACTCTTCTGTACTGTTCAATGTGACTAGTGTGCGTGTACTCTTCTGTACACTATAGTGTGACTCGATTGCACCGTGTAGCCTAATTGCTCGGCATTCATCTGTACTATAGTGTGACTTGTCTGCACTATATAATCTCTCTGCACTCTTCTGTACCATATAGTGTGACTTGCCTGCACTATATCATTTCTCTGCACCCTTCTGTGACTTGTATCATTTAGCCTAATTTCTCTACACTTTTCTGTCCTATAGTGTGACTTGCCTGCACTATATAATTTTTCTGCACTCTTCTGTATTACAGTGTGACTTTTCTGCATTATATAATTACTCTGCACTCTCCTGTACGGTTTAGTGTGACTTGTTTGAATTCTCTGCACTTTTCTGTACTATATAGTGTGACTTGTTTGCACTATATAATTTCTCTGCACTCTTCTACTGTGATTTGTCTGCATTATATAATTTCTCAACACTGCAGTGTGGCTTGTCTGCACGATATAATTTCTCTGCACTCTTCTGTGACTTGTCTGCACTAATTAATTTCTCTGCACCCTTCTGTGCTATATAGTGTGACTTATTTGCATTATATAATTTATCTGCACTCTCCTGTACTATATACTGTGATTTGTCTGCATTGTATAATTTCCTTGCACTCTTCTGTACTATATAGTGTGACTTGTCTGCATTATATAATTTATCTGCACTCTTCTGTACTATAATGTGACTTGTCTGCAATAAATAATTTCTCTACACTCTTCTGTTCTATAATGTGACTTGTCTGCTTTGTATAATTTCTCTACACTCTTCTGTCCTATAATGTAACTTGTCTGCATTATATAATTTCTCTACACTCTTCTGTTCTATAATGTGACTTGTCTGCTTTATATAATTTCTCTACACTCTTCTGTCCTATAATGTGACTTGTCTGCATGATATAATTTATCTGCACTCTTCTGTACTATATAGTGTGACTTGTCTGCATTATATAATTTATCTGCACTCTTCTGTACTACATAGTGTGACTTGTTTGCACTATATCATTTTTCTGCACTCTTTTGTACTATATAGTGTGACTTGTCTGCATTATACAATTTCTCTGCACTCTTCTGTACTATAAATAGTGCATTTTCTATACCATACAGCCTGATTCATCTTCTGATTCTTATAGGTGCACCCTCTCTCTCCCTTTGCTCTCCTCTGCACCTTATAGGATGCTTTAGAGAAGTTCCTTTGTATTTGCCAAACTTCACCTGGAAATGTGTAACATGACCGGCAATTCCGACACTAGCTTCTATTCTCTTGTCATTATTTATGTATTGTATTATAAATAGATGTATTTGAGCTAAGAAAATATTATGATAATATATCAAATATAATACATTCTGCCGAACATAGATTACTAGATAGATATCATCGGCATAGAACACAATTAGAACAAAGAGCAGGAAGAAAGACATAGATAGATAGATAGATAGATAGATAGATAGATAGATAGATAGATAGATAGATAGATAGATAGATAGATAGATATTCGTTTGCTTTAATTTGATCATATTCATCCATTTCTTCCAAGAATCTCTAGCTACTCCTTTACCTTATTGTGAGATTGTTATATATAATAACTGTTTTCTGCCAGCAATGTCTACAGATACCTTTATAATAATGCGATAGTACCAACAACCCGCTAATAATGTCACTATGTTCCTTTACAGAAATGTAACTTTGATATTAACTAATTTGCTGACAATAATGCCTTTACCTTAACATGATATACTATAAACTCCTTTTCTGTCATGAACGTTTATATAGTCCTGTATGATAATGTGATATTAACGTTAACCCCCTTTGATGCCAAGAATCTGTAACTATTCGTTGACATACATGTGAAATGATCAGTAACCCCTTGGTTGCCAAGAATGTATGTGTTGGTTCGCATCCATTTGATATTAACTCCTTGGCTGCCAAGCATGTGTAGCTGTTGGTTCGCATCCATTTTACATTAACTCATTGGGTGCCAAGCATGTGTAGCTGTTGGTTCGCATCCATTTGATATTAACCCCCTAGCTGGCAAGAATGTCGATGGCTTTTTTTCAGCGTAATGAGCTATAGAGCCTCAGATACTAGAGGGACAAATGATTCTTGGCACTAGATCCACAGAGCTGGTGAAGGACTAGGGAGATGATTACTAGGATGCGAACATTTGTTTTTCTATGGGAGATGGACAATAACAAGTGTGCCTGTCAATGCTCCAAGCATAGGAGACTTGTTGTTGCGCAGGGTCATTCTGCATGTGTGGCTGATGGGACAGGGGCTGTCTAATCCCCTCCAGAACATACTGCATATCTCCCTCCCGATCTGCACTGTGCTTAATGAATTAAAGCTTGGCATTCGTCAGGCTGATGGTTGTCGTCTGTTTATATTACACAGAAACTAGCCTTTTATTCGAAGATGCAGGAAGCCCCGGAGAGTGGCAGCAACAGCAACGGTAGCAGTGGCAGCAGTGGCAGTCCGTTCTCCAGCCATACCCCAGCCAATATTAAAGAAGAGGAGTGCAGCCCGGAGAAGGAGAGCCCTCCAGAAGCCGAATACATCAGCTCCAGATGTGTCCTGTTCACCTATTTCCAGGGAGATATCAGCTCAGTGGTGGATGAGCACTTCAGCAGAGCTCTCAGCCTGCCCAGCAGTTATTCCCCCAGCAGCGCTGCTGCCAAGACTGCCAGGGGTGCCAACTCATGGAGGGGTGAGTGCAGCATCACTGTGCCAGGATTATTGAAATATCCCCATTGCATTGTGCAAACCTATCACTGTCTTAAATGAACAGGTGTATCAATGTCATCTTTCTAAAATAAATATTGTAGCCTGATAACTATATGCACTTCATATGTATTGATATAATTCAATACATTCCTTTTTTATTTCACATACATTTATATTTTCCCCCACATGTAGACCAAGTTGTCCACCAAAAAACAGGAGCTGGGACAAGCCATAACACAGACAGGGGTGCTAATAAGGGTCACCTTTTATTAAGGTTTATTTAAATCTGTTTAAAAAAGTAAACTTTTGCAGCATTGACTCAAGCACCCCCCTAGAAATTTTATAGTTTGTCCTATCACTTGTCATCCTGAATGAGCAGAAAACTATAATAAGACATGCAAAATAAAAAAAAGATAATAATCTAATGAATACTATATTAGCTGCTTAGAGTTATAAGAATAAAAATAGTGTCCTTCTAAGCTAACACATTTTTTATATTACAGGTGTGCATGTATAATAAGTATACAAGCTGTCTTCCACATATGACACACATGTCTGTTTTTGAGCAAAAATGCTTAAAGTTTTGAATATGTGCTTCTCAAAAGAGTAAACAAAACCCTGTAGGTCACCCAGGAAGTATATGTGTACAAATGTCAGATGTTGATATATCATAGTTGCTGCGATGCTGTTTTTGGTTTGAAGACCATTTCTTTACATGGTCCTTAAAATCAGATGTTATTCCTCCTATATTATAATATACCTTATATATTTAAATGAGTGCTTCTACTCAGAGGTCATTAGTTCTAACAGTATTTGTAATATTTGAATGAAACAAACTTGGATACTGTCGAAATGAGTTTGACTGACAAAACAGTTTACAGCCAGTAAAACACATTTGTTATGTCTGTCTTGGAGGAATACTTAGTGCTCTGGTTTCAAACATGCACAGAAATGCCGGACATTCATTTTTATGGCAGGGAAGACCTCAGTGAATTTGGAAGAGCTAAGATGTCCGCTAAGACAGATTAAATCTATGATGCTTTGCATGCTGTCTTAATGTAAGAGAAGAAAAGTACAACTGAAACAAGCTACAGCTATTAAAAATATATATAAAAAAAACTTTAAAATGTGATATGTCATACAAATAACTGCTGGTGACTCAAGAGTTTAAATAAAAGCTTTGTTGGCGTTTGTCAATAATATTATTCGCATTGTTATACGGTACATTAATTTTAACATATAATACATTGTTCTACAGAGAATATTTAAGGATTCACATCAGAGCATGTCCAGATGGATCTTAACCTAGTCAGAAAGATTAAACTAGTAACATTTTTATACTGCTTCTCATATGAACATGCATAATAGCATCCTATGATTGTGCATGCTTATATGTAGTGCAGGCATCTGCTGCTCAATTTGTTTCCCATTATCTTATCACTGGAGTACAGTAGGCCAAGCTGCAAGTCTTTTCATTAGTAAATCTCTATCAATGATTGATGCTAAAGCCATGGGTACCCTCTATCTACAGCTTCATTAATTTGGCAATTGACACATGATCAAAATAAACTATTACTGTGTCCTTAGACCTTGTAGGAAAATGAATGCAGAGATATGCAAGCACACCTTAGTTAAAAGTTATGCTCAGTTTGTCATCACACGCTCATGTGCCAATTGCATACAATTTACGTTTGCCTTTCTAAAATGAATGTCCCAATCATACAGATAACTAATACCATATAACCATAATAACTACTACATATTAACATACTCTAATACAGGGGTTGGTTTAAAAAAGCATTTGTTCATTTCAAATATCCAGTAATATTGGGGGAATTTATAGAATGTTCCTCGGAAATTATTTAACTGAGCACAGGCTGGTGTAAAATGACTCCTTTACTAAATCAGCTTCATATGGGTTTATTTAATACAGAGGTCTGAAAATTGAGCACTTATTCTTCAGAAGAAAACAAAGTATCATTCACTTTCTGAAGTCAGGTCAATACAATGCATGTGACAACTAGGTACCCTATAAGTTAGATGCTTAGAGTGCCCACATTAGCAAGACTCTGTCATAAACACAAATAGACTTGGACTCCCAGCAGTCACTATTTACATACATAGGATGTGTCTGCTGAGTATATCAGTGTCCATTGTGAAGTTAAAATTTAAATATAATTGCACTGTGGGCACCACCATGTAAGCAGTCCAGTCGCATAGCAGTGTCAAAAAGACCACTTCTCGGTTTATAGGCTGCTCTCTGCAAAAGTGTTGGATAATTAAATGCAAGATACCATGATGTCCATTTATCCATTGGTGGCTGCTTGGAAGTATAATCCTGAATTCAGACAATAAAAACAATTACGGCAGTGTCTCAAGTCTTTATTCTACAACACTAAAGTTGACTCACATGTGACAGGTTTGCTTGATATACTTAGAGCAACAAAAAGCAGCTATTGTGTATTTATGTCCCTCATGTACATAGAGTGGACAATTTTTTCGTCAGCATTTTACAGGAAAGTACCATTTACATTAGTCCCTACCAGAAAAACTACCACTCTTATTTCCACAGTCATGCACACAGACACACAGTAGGGTGAAAGGTAATATACTTACCAATTTCTTTGTTTATTGTGGGAGGTAATCTAAGCACCTGTAGAAACCTAAAAAAACACAGGGAGAACATGCAAACTTCATGCAGAAGTTTTTAGTAGACCAATAGTGTTTTAATCTTACTGCATTTGGCAAAGGATTTTAATGGACTGGGCAAAGTACATGTCACATGGGTTCCAAGCTAACTGTTTAAAATTATGAGGGCCCAAAGATATTACATTATCTCACTAATTACTGCTGTCTTTAGGATACTTTTAAAAGTAAATAGTTAATTCAACTGATTTTATTAATACTGTATACTGCATGCAAATGTTTAAATGAAAGTAACACAGATAACATTATTTGGTTTCATAGTATGGATACATTAATTTGTGTTTTCTCCATACATCGCTTACTGAATTTCCAAGACCAACATATTTACAGTATATTTTAATAATGATTTCCCTGAAAACATTGTGTGTTTAATTTTTCATGTCTTTTGTAGAAGTGCAACAAAAACTGTGATGGCCTTTTTATACCTAGCTAGACAAATGGGGCTAAGAAGGGTGATCAATAAATGCTGGCACAGTGAAGAGTCTCGTAAAGAATATCTCTGTAAAGGTTGACATTGATATAAGATGGTGGTCTGAATATCTGACTGACGTTAGAACATTTAGGAAATGATCCTGTGGCACTAATAGTCTAGCCTGCAAAGAGTGGCCAATGCTGTGGACGGATCACTAATAGATGTATGCATCCAATGCCTTTATTGAATTTAGATATTTCATGGGGTAAAATAGAAGAGATCATACATGTACTGATGTTGGCTTTACACAGTTGCATCACTCATTCTAGCATTCAGTATCTGAGAGAATATCTCTCTATCTGAAAAGGAGTATCTGCCATAATAAACAGAGTATTGGCCCAAGTACAAGCAGAACTTAGGCCCAAGCCAAAACCCACATGACCCAAGTTTGGGCCAGTACAGCTATTTCACAAAAATATTATGGCTGCCATTTGTTATGTATTTAACTATATATGTATCTATATAAGGCTATTTTTGCTTTAACCAACCAACCAACCAACCAACCAACCAACTAAAGACTAAGGGGAAGGATTTTTTTAAGCCCATATTAACCTGTTGTCATGTTTAAAAGAAGCACAGGTCAGCTGGTTAATTAACTTTACGTTCTTTGCACATAGCATTAGTTTTGCATTGCTCAAAATTAGATTCACATTGTTTTTTTCCAATGTTAGTGGGAATTGTGCTTAGTATTGAGAGGTTGTACAATAGCTATGAATTCAAATATAAGATTATAAGGCTATCATCTAACAGCTAACAAGTCTTCTGTGCAATGATGAATGGGCAGACATTTCACAGGATCAGGCTTGACATGTTTCATAATAATTCATAAGAACAATTATTATTGTTGTTAAAGTTTCTAAAATGTCAACATTTACAGTGCATTGGGTAGCAGTAAAACAGTATCCCATATCAAAAGTAGATTTATAAAAGCTGGAGGAAAGTGGAGTTGATGTCCAAAGCAATCAAATCTGCATATCCAATCGGCACCTAAAAGATTTAAAATCTGGTTGTCTTGGTTAGTTATTCCATTTCTATAGTTGTTATAAATCAATTCCAAAATGTAAATGCAATGAAAACATCACTAGCTCATTTCTTTTTTTTTTTCAAACTGTAGGATTTTTCAACATATCTTGAGTAATAATAGCAATGGAATTAATTATGAAGGTTATTAAAGAAAATGTAATTTTTTTCTCTTTTAACAGAAGCAACTTACCCTATGAGTCAAAGAAGCTTTCCTCCATCCTTTTGGAACAGCAGTTACCAGTCAAATGCAGTTGCTGCTTCCTCAGCACTGGGCAGCAGCTTAGCCAGCCCTCTTACTGGTCCTCACAGTGAAATTCCTTTCGGAGCAGATCCTTATTCCCCTGCTTCTCTACATAGTCACCTACACCAGGGTCCACCTGAGCCCTGGCACCACGCCCACCACCATCACCACCACCACCACCCATATTCAATTGGGGGAGCAATAAACAGTCAGGGTTCAAGTTACCCACGGCCTGGCATGCATGAAGTTTATAGTACGCACTTCGATCCTCGCTACAGCTCTTTACTTGTTCCAGCATCAGTCCGACCCCACAGGATCACTCCTGCAGGTTCAGCACCTCCTGCAACACAGTGTGATTTAGGCAAGGGAGAAGCCACAACCTCTGCATGGACAACTCCTGGGCCATATCCAGGACCAGCAGGAGACATGGGACAAAGCCTTAGCCTAAATGTGGATGCAGGTAAGCAGTGTTTGAAAATACAAATTGATTTGCAACAATTAGATATGGCAGAAGGGGCACATGTGGCAATAACATCTATGCTGTGAGAGCATTAGGTCCTTCTTGCATTTCCTTCTGTTTCTTTGCTATGGTTAATACGACAGTAGGCAGTTATCATTTAAATACTGGAGCAGGACAACCACCAGTAACTGGCATGAGGGTTCTAGAAATGGTAAAAGGTTGCGCTAGGGTGGGGGTATTAATTATATTCTGTACACAATTACCATAGTTTCCAGATAGAGTGGAGAGGACTAGGGTACATTTAAATTTGCAGCCACACCAGTAGGTTTGGAAAAGTTTAAACTTTTTCTATACAAGATATTAAGCCTCTAAACCAGAAACCCATGTGGTAAACCTACCCTATATTTAAATCATACTCAGTAGTCCTGCAACAGTTTATGTGACTGTTGTCAGCACACCATTTTGTTTGGTCCACAAGTATGGACTTGCACACCAACCATGAGTTCAGTGGCCTCGTGGCACAAGATTCCCTAGACAGATTCTTCATGTATACTTTTGCTTCATGGAAATGCTACACACAGGCCACCAGTTTCACAGCCTAGTTCCACAATAAACAGCAGTTCTGTCATACACACTAGCCATTAGTTTGTAGTTTTTGTTATGCACTGCCATCTGCTAAGTGTACTTGCTGCTAAAAAATTTGATGACTATTTTAAATACTACCCACTATTTAAGTAATAGTGCTACACATTTACCACCAAGGAGGTAGACCTGTAACAAACATGCCACCTGACTGTTAGTCTTCCCATGTATTCAAGACCAGATGGGATGTCCACTAATACACTAAATACTACTCATGAATTCCTGCTGTAGGTTAGGCAATAAAACAAAATTCTTCTATATGTTAGTGGATGGTAATGCCTAATAACATGCTGGTCAACAGATATCAAGTCCTATTATACATAAGCAGTCAAGCTAAAGGTTTGTAAGCATTAACCTAAAGTATGTTAAAAATTAATTAAGCTGTATTTCTGGCTACTCACTATCTCCTTAATAGAGTTTAGCTAAACGTAGCAAGATTAAGCTCAACTCTTTCTACAATTAAAGGAAATGTTTTCTTTCTATGTATATAAAGCAAGCAACCAATCCAAAAAGCAAGGACACTAGAAGACTTACAAAGGCAATGCCACTATTTCAGAAGGTGTATCTTCGAGTGCTAGTTGACTTCTCAGTCTTCTTTCTTTTGAATTGTTTTTAAGTGTTTGTGCTTTCCTTTCATGTTGTCCGTGCAAAACATTCCTCTTCTTTTCCTGAGCCCTAGTTGGCTTTTAAGAGATATTTTCACTTGCTATTTGAGTAAAGATTTGATTAGTTGATCAGTTCAGACTATATATGGGGTGGTAGGCTAAATTCTTTTTTTTTAGATTACAACAATAAATAGATTATTTACAGAGCACAGATTTTGTCAAGTCGCAAGGGAGTAATCATGAAGAGCAGATGACACCTGTATCATATGACGATATAACAATAGCAGTTTCTAGCATCTGAATATTTTTAACTCGGGTGACTCTTCATGTATTTATTTTCCTGTCTCTTTTTAAGAGAGTTTATATCTTGAATGCTCCATAGGTGTCAGAGGCTGACTGCTTCAGACACAACAATCTGACTGTGCATAAAGTAGTCATATAGGTGATAGTGTGAGCATAGTAAAGAAAATGAATGAAAAGGATATCACAGCGTTAAAAAGGAGTGATATGCACTGGTGACCTTTTTTTAACCCGAGAAATATACTCATATATTCAATAGATTAAATGGCTATGCCAACATAATATCAAGAAAGAGCTTTAGGGGAGATAAACTAAAGTATTTCCTTTTCTTCTGGAGTAGCACATTTTGGTTCTATTTGCACACGTCACACTGGGTGAGTTTAAAAGAGCTTTAGTAATTCATCCTGTACATGTTCAAGGCTTTTGGATAATGGTATTTTGTCAGGTAGGAGCTATATTCCATGCCCCTATTACGAGCAGAATGTATGCTGTGATCTTTAACTAAATATTTTGTCAAATGTAGAACTTTACAGTTATCTTTAGAGGGAAGGACATTAAAAACAAAATATAATTTTTCAACCTTGGTGTACCTTGGTTTTTCCAGAAGAGAGTTCCATTTTGTTCATGTTATAGCACATAGTAGTCACAAACCTGCTATGAATCAGTAGTTGATAAATAAAATAAAGAGAATTGGTGAATAAGATACATTTTGTGCATTTTAGAGCTTAAGCTGAGAATTATAAATGACATCATCTAGAATGTTCATAATGTTCTTGATCTTGAAACCCAGTAAATTGTTAAACTGCATTCTCAAATTCAATATTCCAATCCATAAAATAGTAGCTTGCACTGCATGCTTTCAATATTTAATAGAAGGGGCTATTTACTATTATTTAGTGCAGTAATCTTTGACCTAAGCTTTTTATCTGGGCTGCTTTTATCAAAAGTGTCTCTAATAATTCAAACATTTTCTACTAATTATCACAGCATACATGTTTCTCAAAACAGTGCTGGTGCTTGCTTTTGTTTCACCCTATGCTTAAACAGCTTGTATCTGTATCGCTCTCATCTTCTCATACACCTCTTTCTACCTCATTCTCCTTCTCTGCCTCCTCAATTCCCAGGTTTACAGCCTCTGGATAAAAGCAAGGATCTGTACTGGTTTTAAAACTTGTTGCCCCTCTGCAGATCCTCTCCTCCTTGTAGAATTTGGTGGCTTTCTGAGCTGACATGGAGTTGCTTTGGTTTGGTGGTAACGACTTGTAATCTTGGTTTTCAGCTCGACGCTACACCTTCTGCGGAGGACCTCTCCTGAGCTGATCTTCTCAAAGACTCTGAACCAAACCTTATACATCAAGGTCCAGAAACACATGTGCCCCGGCACTAAGACTGCAACAAGAGGATGGGAACAGGACTCTTCTCTACAGGCCAAGTGAGAGGAGACATACTTATTTCCTCCTTGCTCAGAGACTTGTATTTTTATTTAAGATGTGTTCAACAAAATAATTGGTGCCACCAAAAAATATAAATAGATATAATTATATATTAATATAAATCCAGTTGTTTTCTTATGAGGAAAAGAAAAAGACTGTTTTTTGTTGTGAATATTTTTTATGCCTATGTCAAAATGTACTTTCCAAACCAAGCTGCCTGTGAACAAAGATCCAGTGTATTTGTAGTATTCCTTTTCTGACCGCACAGACAAAAAAGCACACCAAACACACATACAGACAATGGTAACAAAGGAAACGAATAATCTTCGGTGGACTAAAAGCCCATTTGTGGACATACAATCCAGTCTGCTGTGAGTGGCAAGAATTTTCCAGGGCCACCTGCCCAAAGCTTATAGAAATGCAGCTGTTAGATGGACAACTGTTCAAACTCCAGAAATATGACAAGCAAGGTGGCACTTCTCAGGGTTTAGCCCAACAATTGCATCTGATTTTTTTTTTTTTACAAGGAGAATTTTATGATGAAAGAAGAAACGCTTTAGAAAACTGACAGCCTCTACATGGATGGAACAACTGCAGCAGGTGAAAGGAGATACTTTGCAGAAGCACATTTCAGTGTGGACAATTGATCTCTTCAGTGTGTGTAAAAGTTGCTGTCATCCTGTCACTTTAATTTGTTTGAAAAACTGTGAGAGATGTATTTAATTGTAGGGATTCTGCATTAAAATATTTTCATGTCCTTATGCGTTGATAAGCTAACCAAAATATTTTTTCTTTCTTTTTGGAAAGCAGTAAAAATGACTAAACAACTTTGCAGGTTAACATTATGAGTAGAAAAGACAACAACCTAAATCGCATAACTGATTTGTGAAAATGGAGGCCAAGAACACTGGAACAAATCTGAAGTGGTTGCAATTAAAGTTCATATTCGAAATGAAACATTACATTTGATTGGTTGCTGAGCAACACCTTCATTTTTGCTTTGGCTTTCTTTGTCCAAGGTTTCATAAATCGGCCTGTGCATATTCAAAGTGATTCTCGCATGTTAAAGCATAATGTTGTGGACTATTGTGAAGGATAAGGAATCATGTCTGCTTTGTTTTTTTCTGAACAAAAAATTTGAAAATCAGCCAATTTGACGTTTTCTAATAGCATTTTAGGCCCCGTAATATAAATGCTGCATGAAATCAGGAGCTCTTAGTAGTTAAAATCACCATCTAAAACCTATTAACACTTTTACTCTTATTCCTTGCTATGGGGAGCAGCTACTATTCAAACTATTCAACACCCATATAAAGTATAATTCACCATACAGTCTTAGCATAAGATAATATTAGCAAATAAGTCATGGTTCACCTATGAAAAAGAGAGAATAGCTTGCCATTAGGTGTGTTGAACCTTTCGTTTATTTGCTTTCTTTATTGGCCATTTTTATGTTTAAGCACGAAGAAGACTATCAAGCTTCTTTTTTATTTAAAGTCACTCTATAGCTACTCAAGATCAGTACCAGGAGACTCTACTATGCCCAAGTTTGGTGTTTGAGCCCCAACACACACAGGCTTGCCAGCACTGGATCTATAGTTTGCCTCACGCCGCACTATGTTAGTATTAGTCTTTTCCCTTAACACTGGACTCAAGGCAAATAGCTAAATATGCAGTTAAACAGCCCTGGCTGAAACTTGATTTTCCTCATTTGTATTTAGCCAGATTTAGGTTGGCTATGAATGTTGCAATCTGATTATACAATCCCCTCTAGATTTACCAACAAATATGGAGTGCAAAGGACTGCCTGATTGTATATAGGGATTTAATACATTTCATCATTTTGGTCAATCATACGAAGATAATAGGGAGCAGGTTTTGTAAAGTCTGCATAGACACAGCTTTCAGTTATAATAAAGATAATAAACAGATACTGCAGTGTTCTTGTTCTGGGTCAAATGACCTGAAACCTCACGGTAGCCTTGACATTAGAAAGTAAATTAAGTCTGTTCTGAGACTGCAGTACACAGTGCAGAGCTTGTAAGAGTCATGTTAGCATGGTTAAACCAAAACTTTAATATATTGCAGTTTACCAGTCCTTAGGTGTGATGGCGGCATTAGTTTCCCTTTTCAGACTTTCGTTTCCTATATTTTCACCTGGTGATTTTACCAGTAACTTACTTCATTCACTAAGGTTAGAACATTCACTCACTGCACTACATCTACAAAGGAGTAGTTCACAGAGGATTGCTATGTTTATGCAGACTTTTCAACCTTTACCTACCTTCCTCCACTTACCCTAATGCCTGCCTTGGAGTTTAGGTCCAACCTTAATCACCTTTCAATTTTCAGCAGTCAAGGCTGGTTGATAAGTTCATCTGGGTATAGAACATGCAATAAGACCTCATTCTTTCCATAACTATTTTAAAACTTCTGGCTGTGCATATAGTTGTCAAGATGGATAAATGTTGTTATTACATTCAAGCATCTGCCTGGGTGAGATGTGTGCATGCCCAGAAATATTTCAAGGGAGCAACCGCTTCATGATTTATTGCTCAGATACTCGATACCTTTGCCTTCCTTGTCCAGGTAATTTTGGTGAAGGAGTGTCTAATAATACACGATGGACAGATTAAATTAACATACTGTTTAATTTATATGTAACACTATGCCAGCACTTTTCAGTATGTCTAGGCTCCTGGTCTTGTAATACTGTGAATTAAAAACCCGGAGAAGTGTGAAGAATTACATCAGCGGATACAGTGTACATTAGTAGATTGCCTGCTGAACATACTACAAACGCTCTATGGCTTCTATTTGAATTATGTTGTGCAGGGTTTTATGATTTTTTCCAGAAGTCCAGAGTGCAGTGAACCTAAATACTACATAGTCAATGGACATCACTCCACATAAAGCTTATTTTTTATTTGTGGAGTCATTAAAGGTTAAAGTATATCTAAACCCTCCCAAATAAAATAATAATTGTATACATGTATTCACACTGGAAGATATCCCCTCTTCCCCTCCCTTATTTTCTCATTGACAACAGTCACCAGGACAAATAGTGACCATAAATGTCCCCACTGAGGACAGAGATGGCATCAAAAACCTAGAAGGGATTCTAAGTATTCCCCAAGATGTCCAAAACCATGTAAAAACAGCTTTGGCTGGAGTTTCACTTTAAGCAAACCCAACCTTTCAACAACTTATCGTATATATTTATGTACAGAGTGCTATTAAAGTTGACCACAATTATCATTTGTGTTGCAGGAATACTTTTATTTTAAAATATATGCAATATGTTAATGTAATGCAAATAATCTTGCCAACATGTGTTATCGGTTTTAATACTTTGTTTATGCACATAGTTTGTAATTATATATACATGGAGCAGTGATATTTCTTTAATACATATACAGGATTTGTTTCCTACTGCACAGTAACCGTCATTCACTGCTCCTATCTATTGTGCCCATACACATAGGACAGCGCTCAACAAACCTGTAACCAATTTCTCGGATGAACGGCAACACACAATTTAATTTCAAAGGAGCAAAAAGTTCCTCTTCAAAAAACCCACAAATAGCACTGAAAACATTATTTCCGATACAATAAATGTGCATAGTTAGGGTGTGAAACCATTTGGTTAAGTTAATGGAAATCTGTACTGCAAAAAATATGTATGCTGTGCCTCTAAAAATGATATTTGCATGGCTGTGTTTGGCTTCAATGTTTTTTCAATCATGGCACCTGAACAAGCATGCAGCAAGTGAAATCGGCATGAATGCAATGAAGCTGATTTACTAAAGGAATAGAGCACGGGTTGCCAAACTTCAGGCCTCCATTTGTGGTGAAACTGAAAACTCCATAAGCCTTTGTAAGACTCTAAAGCTGGCCATACACCTTACAATTATCTGCAGATTTTCTGTGGTCAGATGGAAAAGGTGCATCAGATTCCTCCATCTACACTTAACTGTGTGGATGGAGGAATCTCCACCTGGGCCAATCTGTTGCACTTTTTCCATCTGACCACAGACAATCTGCAGATAATTGTAAGGTGTATGGGCACCTTAAGAGACAAAAGGCATGACTTGCCATGGACTTTAACCCAATTAGCTGCAGGCTGGGCATTTTCTGCCCTGCAGCTGCGTGTGAACAAAGGGTCGGCATGCATGTGCTGACATCATTTACCCTGTAAGGCCACATTGCCCTATTAGGTAAATCTCTAACAATCACACCTGCACTATAGACACTTTGGTCACACTACACCACATCGCAAACTGAATACATTGAAAACAAATGCTTTGACTACAAAGTGACTCTAGCAGGGATATTTAAGGTGCAGCACATCAATGTAAAACAGTAGATACTAAAATAAATAATATATACTGAATGTATATATAATTTAAAATATATCATAAAAAACAAACACTAAAAATGCCCCAATAGATATAAATCAGCATAATTTAGGAATGCACCGATACCAATACTAGTACCTAGATACCGAGTATTTGGGCGAGTACTCATCCCGATACCGGAACTTCCAGTATCAGGAAGTCAGGAGAATGGAGCTGGCTTCATGGGAGCATGGAGCTGGCTTCCTGGCTAATCAGGAAGCCAGGCAGCGAGTCATTACACGCTTCCTTAATGGGACTTCCGGCATCGGTATTCGTATCGGCGAGTACCGGAAAAAAAATATCGGTACTCGATACCGGAAAAACAGTAGCGGTGCACCCCTAGCGCAATTGCATCCATGCCAGATCATGAAAGGTTCTCTGATCATAGGAGATGTAGATGTCCAATAAATATGGAGACTTGACGTGGTGCCATATCGCAAGGGTAAGTGATGCGTTTCATAGAGTAAAATCTGCTTCATCAGACTTTATTGTGCTTGATAGTTTGTATATGTATCTAGGAGCACAGTACCTTCCATCTTTTGTCCTGACCGTAGGCTCCAATGTTCCTCACCCCCTGACGATATGAATACCAGTTCTGAGACCATCTGAAGGCCTCCTGGGATCCCCTGTTGTCCCCAGGTTAGACAGTGCTTATTGCCTGGATGCGGAC